CTGCGTGGCCTGGAACGGGCTGGCGCTGCCTCTCTCCCTGCCCTGGCCAGTCCGCATCATGTTCCGCACCCGCCACCCGCGTGGGGTTCTGCTGCGGGCGGGGGCTGGAGGTCGCCTAACCCTCATCCTGCAGGTGAGCACCGGGAAATCGTATAGGGGAGTTTTCCTGAGGAAAGTGCCGGGGAGGAGGGGTAGTTGCCCCGGGTGAGTTACTGATGTGGGTAGGGGTCGTTGCCACAGGAGGTATTGTTTTTGGTGTCATTGGCATAGGGGACATTGCCCTGGGAGCGTATTGACTTGAGCAGGGGTATAGGGGGCTTGGCACTGGGGCAGTGACAGGGGTTATTGCTCTGAGGGTGGGGGGATTTTGGCATTACTGGCATTGGGGAGTTGTTGGTTTATTACCCTGAGGGAGCCATTGCTGTGGGGGGGTCTTTGGAATAGGAGGTATTGCCTGGTATATTTGGCCACGGGGAGGTAGTGGCGTGGGGGGTTGGAATAGGGGAGTTACTCTGAGAGAAGTGCCAGGGGAGTACTGCCCTGGAGGGAGTCTTTTGGCATCAGAGGTATTGCCATGGGGGGGTGTATTGCTGGGGTGGGGGCAACACTGCAAGGGGGTGCCACCCCTTGAGGGGGCATTACCCAGGGGGGTGTGTTACTGTCCCAGAGAGGAACGATTCTGTATTTCCCGGTGGGCAGTGCCTGATGCCCACCAGATTTTTGGGATCCTTGACATGTCTACCCCCTCACAGCTAAGCGAGGGGCAGGTGGAGGCTGGTGCCTGGCAGGGGGGGGCACGTTTGGCTACCCTGCGTCTGCCCCAGGCCAAAGTCAATGATGGTGCCTGGCACCACGTGGAGCTGGAACTGCGGGGGGGCTCTGGCCGCAACCCCCCCACCACCCTCCTCCTCCTCACCCTCGACTATGGCCGCCACCAGGTATGGGGAGAGTGAGGCACAGGGGAGCATCCACTCTGATGATCCCCAGGTGCCACCATGGCACCCCCTGTGGCACCCCAAGGCACCCACAGGAGTCTGTGCCCCCCAGGCAGTGGGCAATGTCCCTGGAGAGCTGCAGGGACTGCGGCTGCGCACGCTGAGCCTCGGGGGGCTGCTGGGGGACAGTGGCACTGTGGCAGAGGGGTTCCAGGGGTGCCTGCAGGTATGGAAGTGTGGGCACAGAGGGTGTGGGAGGCATAGGGTGGCAGGTGTAGGGGTGGGGGGTTGGCTTGGGGATGTGGAAGAGGGGGGTAAAGGCATGGTCACAAATGTGAGGGTGACACAGGGTCATGGACACAGGGACCTGGCATGGGGCTTGGGGAAGTGGGCACAGATAGTTTGGGATGTGGCAGAGGGTGAGAACAGGGCACAATGAAGCAGGGCCTTGCCTTGGGGATGGGGATATGGGCATGATGAAGAGGGGCACAGGGACATGGGTACAGTGCCTGGGGACCTGGCCCAGGGCTTGGGGACATGGGCCCAGGGCTTGGGGATGTGGCATGGGTTGGGGACAGGGAACAATGAAGCCAGGCACAGGGCTTGTGGACATGCATATGATGAAGGCACGCATAGGGACACTGGGACATGTGCACAGGGGTTGGGGACATGGGCACAATGGGAGGGAGCACAGGCACACAGGCACAGTGCTTGGGGACATGGCATAGGGAGTGGAGATGTGGGCATGATGAAGGACAGCACAAGGACATTGGGACATGGGCACAGAGATGGGGGCATGGGGTTTGGGAATGTGACACAGAGAATTGGGAACACGGGCATGATGGAGAAGGGCACAGGGATGTGGTTACAGGGAGTTGGCACAGGACAAGGAGACATGGGCTGTGTGGGCAGGGAGACAATGAGGATGCACTGGGTACTCATGGGCATAGTGACATGGGGCACAGGGACATCACCCTAGGGCCTGGGCAGGATGGGGACATAGCCGTGGGGATATGGGTATGACTGAGGAGGTCATGGGTAGTACAAAGAGTGCTGAAGCACCAAGAGGTGATGCGACTGGGGATGGGGGCTGGCGTGACATGGTGGGTCCTGGTGTGGGGTTCGGGGAGTCACGTGTTGTGGGGACAGATTGAACAGGATGACACAAAAGGTCCTGGGTGGTAGTGAGGGGCATTGAGGCTGGGCATGGCACTGGGGAAGGAGGGGTCATGGTGGCTGGGGCATCACTGAGGTCACTGACAGGTGACCCTGCGCAGGGAAGTTGGGGTGGGGTCGGAGGGTGTGCCAGGTTAATGGGGGATCACTGCCTCAGAGTGTCACCAAGTGGTGCTGAGTTTGGTGCTGAGTTATGATAACAGATGACAGGGGGAAACTGAGGAGGGGGTGACACTGTAGGGTGGTCCAGGTTGTCCTGGGGTGTTCTGTGTTGTGGCAGGGACACTGAGGTAGGGATGACAGTTGGGCAGGGGGTTTTAGTGTGGCATGGTGACAGGTGTGGAGGTGAGATCACACTGATGGCGACACCGTGCAGGGAGTTCTCATGGAGTCTTCAGGGAATGATGAGGGAAGTGGAGGCATGGAGTGGAGTGTGTTGGGGGGTCCAAGGTGGCTTGGGAGGGAATTTAATGAGAGCATTGATGGGTGACCCTGCAGGGCCTGCGTGTTGGGGACCATGTGGTGACTGCGGGCACCTTGAGCCTGGCACAGGCAGTGCTGGTGAACGTGGAGGGGGGCTGTGCCCTGCCTGATCCCTGTGACTCAGGGCCCTGCCCCCCCAACAGCTACTGCAGTGATGATTGGGACAGTTTCTCATGTCGCTGCCACCCTGGTGAGCACGAACCCCCCAGACCCCTGACACCCTCACAACACACCCCAGACATCCCCCAACACTGGGCACTGAAAACCCCTATAACACACCCCTCTGCCACTCCACTGAATGGGGACAATGTCAGACCCTGATATCCCCCAATAGCTCCCCAACACTCCCTGACACCTTCCCGACACTGCCCGAACACCCCCAGGATGCTGGCACCCCTGTGACACACCTGTGACACCCCTCATTTCTGTGCCTTTGAGTGGAGACCCCCTGACAACCCCTGACATCCCCTGACACCCTGTGGGACACTGACACCACTGAGACACCCCTGTGACACCCCCTACTGCTACCCTGGTAAGCAGAGACCCCCCCCTGGAACTCCTGACAAGTCCCAACACTCCCTGAGACACTGCCATCCCTGTTGTCACAGGGGTGACACTGCCATCCCATGGCAGTGTCACCCCCATGAGTGGAGACCCCCTGGTACCTACTGACAACTCTGAGATACTGTCATCCCCAGCACTGCCACCTGTGACACATTGTCCCAACAACACTACCTTTTCTGGGTACCACCAATCCATCCCTGTCACCAGGGCAGTGCCACTCCCCTGTCACTGTCACCTGGACACTGCCACCCCTATCACTGTCCCCAAGGCACTGCCACCCTCCCTTGTCACTGCCACTCCTTATCACTGTCACCCCTGGGGACTACCCCTCACCCCCATCCCTGTCCCCCATCACTCTGCCCTCTTGTTGTCCCCAACCCTTTCCTGTGCCCAGGGTACTTCGGTGACAGCTGTGTCAGTGCCTGTGCCCTGGATCCCTGTGAGCCTCCGGGCACCTGTACCCGCCGCCCAGGCACGGGCCCTGGCTATGCCTGTCACTGTCCCCCGGGCACCTTCGGGACCCTCTGCCAGCACCGGTTGGTGACACTGGGGGGCACATGCATGTGCCAGGGGGACACAGAGCACCCAGGGGGAGGGGGGACACTGTGAGGGACACTGTGAGCAGGGGCTGGGGTGAGAGGAGGGTGGGCATATGGGGCAGGGTGGGTGTGTAAGGGTCATAGTGCACATGCAAGAGCTGTGGTGAGTATGCAAGGGATGAAAAGTGGTACTGTGGGTGTAGAAGTGGTACAGTGGGGGTGCAAGGGGCACTGGGGGTACAGGTGGCACTGTGAGGGTACAAGCGGCCATGTGGGTATGCAAGGGACAGTGTGGGTGTACAAGGGACCATGTGAGTGTATGAGCGGCATTGTGGGGGTATCCTGGCGTGGTGCCCGAGTGCAGCTCCAGCGTCCCCAGGGAGGCGCAGCCATGTCCGCGGGGATGGTGGGGGCACCCCACGTGCGGCCCCTGCAGCTGCGATGTCACCCACGGCTTCAACCCAGACTGTAACAAAACCACGGGCGAGTGTCGCTGCAAGGTGGGACCTGTCAGCCTTTGTCACCTCCCCTGCCGACCTCTGCCATCCTCCTGTCACCCCTCTGTTGCCTCCTGCCACCCTGCTGTCATCCTGTCACCTCCCTGTCCCCTCCGATCATGCCCCCAGTCAACTCCCCAGTCACCTCCCTGCCACCTCCCAGTAACCCCCTGTCAGCCCCATGTCACCCCATCCCCGTGCCTGCAGTGACCCTGTGTTCCCCCAGGACAACCACTACCGCCCGCCAGGAGAGGACACATGCCACCCCTGTGAGTGTTACCCCACTGGGTCGCTGTCGCGCCGCTGTGATGCCAACACTGGACAGTGTCCCTGCAAAGCTGGTGTCATTGGCCGCCATTGTGACCGCTGTGACAACCCCTTTGCTGAGGTGACAGCCAGTGGCTGCGAAGGTGGGGGACTGTCAACTTCTGTTACCTTGTGCCACCCTGAGTGCCTACCGTCACCCTCCTGTCACCCTCCATTAGTCCCTGTCACCTTGTGTCACCCTGTGTCACCTTGTGTCATCCTGTGTCACCCTGAGTGCCAGTGACCAGCTACTGCTGTCACTCTGCTGTCACCCTGCTGACCCCATTGTCACATTATGTCACCTTGTGTCACCCCACTGTCATTCTGTGTCACACTGGTGTTATCCTACTGTCATCCTGTATCACTGTATACCACCCTGTGCCATCCTGATGCCCCCTGTTCTGCCACAGTTGTCACCCTGGGTGCCAGGGAATGCCACTGTCACCCTGTATCACCCTGTGTCACACTGCTTTGCCCTGTTGGAACCCTGTGTCATTATGAGTGACAGTGACTGGGTGGTACTGTTACCCTGCTGTCACCCTGTGCTACTCTGCATCACTGCATTGTCATTTTGTGTCAACTGGTGTCACCTTGCTGTCATGCTGGCTGCTGGAAACAATTCCACCAGCACCTTGGTTGTTGGTGTAATCCCACTGACACCTTGTGTCACGCTGCTATCACACTGCTGTCACCCTGTGCCACTATGTCACCCTATTTTCACCCTCTGTTATCCTTTTGTCACCCTGCTCCACCACTGCTGTCATCCTGCTGTTAGCCTGTGTCACCCTGTGTCACCCTGGGTTCCAGTGACCAGGTGCCACTGCCACCCTACTGTCACACTGTGCCCCCCTGTGTCCCCCATTTTGATGCCCTGTTGTGTCCCGCAGTGAACTATGACAGCTGTCCCCGGGCCATTGAGGCCAGCATCTGGTGGCCCCGCACTCGGTTTGGGCTGCCAGCTGCAGCCCCCTGCCCCAAGGGCTCTGTTGGTACGTGAGGACATGGGGACGGGGCGGGAGTGGCACTGGGCACACTGCCAGAATGGGGCTGGGGGTGACACAGTGGTGACATCACTGGGATGGGGCTGAGAGGGGTTGACATCACGGCGGCATCGCTTGGGTGGTACAGGGAACTGACACTGTGGTTGCACTGCTGAGACACGGTGGGGAGAGGAGACACCATGGTGTCACTTCAGGGTGGTGATATGGTGGTGACACTGCTGCAATGGGATGTTGACACCAGCAGGACAGAGCTGGGGTGTGTCATGGTGGTGGCATGGTTGGATGGAGCTGGGGTGGAGTAGCACCATGGGGCATCACTGGGACAAGGCAAGGGGGTGATGCTGTAGTGGCACTATTGGGTTGGTACAGGGAGGTGACACTATGGTGGCACTGCTAGGATGGGTTAGGGGTAGTGACACCTTGGTGGTACTGCCAAGATGGGAGTGGGGGTGACATGAGTGTGGACCTATTGAGATGAGGCTGGGGCTGCCACTGTGCTGTCAGTGCAGAGAGTGTGACACTGGTGGCATCACTGGGACAGGACTGGTAGCTGTCACAGTGGTGGCACTGGGGGTAGCACAGAAGTGTGACACTGTGGTGGCACAGGTGGGACAAGGCTGGGGCACCACTGCAGGGTGGAGCAGAAGTGTGGCACTGGTGGCATGCAGTGAGGTGAGGCTGCCCCATTGTCTCAAGGTGCACTCACTGTCCCCATCCCATAGGCACGGCACTGCGCCACTGTGATGAGCACAAGGGCTGGCTGCCCCCCAATCTCTTCAACTGCAGCGCACTGGCCTTTGCTGCCCTTCGCCCCTGGGTGAGCTGGGGGAACACCAGCAACAGCCATGTGACAGTGCCACTGGGGCTCCCTTGACTCTGTGTGTTGTCCCCCCAAGGTGGAGCAGCTGGTGGGCAATGAGTCACGGTGGGATGCAGGGCAGTCCCGGCGTGTGGCGCTGGCACTGCGTGAAGCAATGCGTGAGGCCCATGGGTACTTTGGCAGTGATGTGCACCTGGCATACCAGCTGGCAGGGGCCCTGCTGCGCCATGAAAGCCACCAGCGTGGCTTCCACCTCGCTGCCACCCAGGACGTGCACTTCACTGAGGTGGGCATGAGGTCACAGGGATGGGGACATGCCCAAAGGGGGAACGAGCCAAACAGAAAAGAGGTTGGGATGATGAGCACCCCCATGGGGAAGGATGTGGGTGCATGAGCCCAGACACCGGAATGATGGGCACTCTTGTGGGGAGGGGGATTGGGGCAGAAGGGCCAGGAGTGACAGGCTCCCACCTATGGAGGCAGAAGAGCAGACACCCGGGTGACGGGCACTGGGGAGAGAGGTTGAGGAGGTAGGAAAAGAGGTTGGAGTTATGGGGACCCTTGTGGGGAGGGTCATATTGGGGCAGAAGGTCAAACACTGGGGTGATGGGCACCTACATGGAGAGGGGGGAGGTGGTGCAGGAACCTGGCTGCCATGCTGGGAAGGGTATTGGTGAGGGAGCCTATGCACCAGGGTGATGCACCACCCACCTAGAGAGGAATGGTGGTGTAGGAGGTCTGATGCCAGGGTGGTGAGTACCCCTGAGCAGCGGGTGTTGGTGTGGCTCAGGGTGCACCCTCAACTTTGTGGGGGTACGGCACCCCTGTTCCCCACTGTCCGTGCCAGGGTGCCCCAGCCACAGAGTCCTGCAGGGGAGGTTAGGGGCCTCCTGCCCAGACCCTAGAGTGCCAGCTCCTAGTGCCACTACCACTGCCTTGTCCCCAGAACCTGCTGCGGGTAGGCAGTGCGCTGCTGGACATGGGGAACAAGCGACACTGGGAGCTGATCCAGCAGACGGAGGGTGGCACAGCCCAGCTGCTGCAGCATTTCGAGGAGTACGCACGAGCCCTGGCACGGAATATGCCCCAGACTTACCTCAGCCCATTCACCATTGTCACCCCTAACATCGGTCAGTGGGGACATGCATGGCTGGAGGGCTGTCAGAGGGGTATCTGCCTGGGAACATACGCATGCTGGGAACATGTGTGTGCCTGGGGACACACATGTGCCTTTGGTGTGGTGCTGGGGACATGGGCATGGATGTGCCCAGGGGATGTATGTGCTGGGGATATGGACATGTGTGTGCTTGGGGACATGCGTGTGCTCAGGGGATGTGTGTGTGTTGGGGATGTGGATTCATGTCTGGGAACACAAACGTTTATATAGCTGGCATATGTGTGTGCCTGGGGACATGTGTGTGCGCAAGGATACATGCTGGGAGCATGCATGCATGTGTGACTTGTACCTGGGAACACATGTTGGTGACACGGACATTTGTGTAGCTGGGAAACATGTCCTGGGGAACATGGGTGTGCCTTAGAGGCATGTGTATGTCCCTGGCAATATGGGCTGTGGTCTGTGTGCCCTGGGGTCAGGGAGTGCTGGGTACTCAGGCTGTTGTGTTCTGTGTGTCTCGGCGCTGGTGGGTGCTGGGGTCCATGTGCCTGCAGTTTGGTGGCTGCTGTATGGATTCATTGCTCTGGGGTTGTTCGATGTCAGGGTCAGTGTGTGCTGGGCTCAGTGGGTGGTGGAGTCTGTGTGCTACAGGATTGGTGGATGCCAGGATCTGTGGTCCCAGGGTCTGCATGCCCCAGGATCCATGCCTCTGGGGTTCATGGGTGCAGGGGTTGGTTTGTTCCTGGTTTGGTGTGCCCTGGGGTCAGTGGGTGCCAAGGTCTGGGTTCCCCAAGGTCAGTGGGTGCCAGGATTGATTTGTGCTAGTGGTGGTATGTGCTAGGCTTGGTGCGCCCCTGAATCAGTGAATGCTGGGGTTGGTATGCCCTGGGGTCGGTAGGTGCTGGGGTCTGTGTGCCTCAGGGTTGGTGGGTGCCATACCATGCCGTGAGTGACGTCGTGTCACAGTGGTGTCGGTGGTGCGGCTGGACAAGAGCAGCTTTGTGGGTGCCCGCCTGCCACGCTATGAGGCGCTGCGGGGAGAGAAACTCCCAGACCTGGAGACGACCGTCATCCTGCCTGACAGCATCTTCTGGCCCCCCGAGGACAGGCGTGAGTCCAGGGCGTAGGGGTGACAGGGGTAGGGTTGGAGACCCATTTGCATCCATGGGGCTGGCAGGGCTTGGGGGGCCCCTTATTTGGCCATGGAGACATGGCACAGCTGGGCACCTTGGCTGGGGGCTGGCAGGGATGGGGGAACCCCAGAATGCCCATAGGCTGACAGGTGCCACCATGGGGACCCCAGTGTGGTCATGGGGCTGGCAAGGTTGGGACCCCAGGATGATACTGGCATGGCTGGGGACCCTGGTAAGGATGCAAGGACCAGGGATCCCAGGATGGCATCAGAGATCCTGATGTGGCTATGGCAGTGGGCAGGGTTGGGGACCCCTGGAGCTGGAAGTGTTGGGGGAACTTTGTTGTGGTCATTGGACTGGCAGAGTTGGGGACTCCAGGGTGGCCACGGGAACCCCAATGAAGTCTCAGAGCACCATGCCACCCCCTGCCCATGGCCCCCAGGCCCCTCAACCGGGCATGGGCAGGCACCACAGGGCACAGGTGGGCAGGAGGAGGAGGAGGATGAAGCAGGCGAAGAGAAGAAGGAGGAGGAGGCAGGGATGACTGTGGTGACCCGGCACAAGCGCCACCCATCCCTGGGTGAGGGCCAGGCCATCGCCAGCGTCATCATCTACCGTACCCTGGCCGGTCTCCTGCCCCAGCACTTCGACACCGACAAGCGCAGCCTCCGGTGCCACTGGGG